AGAATGTACCAGCCACTCAGAGACGCTGTCCTACATGTAAACACAATGTTGAAGACGAATTTCACTTCTTATTATTTTGTCCCACGTACACTGAAGAAAGGCTGACACTTATGAACATGATCTCACGTAACTCAAACCTTACTTTACCTAGAACAAGCTCAGATACATTTAATTTACTTATGTCATGTCCTGAACCAATATCCTTATATATAGGCCAATTCATATCTTCCGCTCTCCAGAAAAGAAACCATATCATCTCTGACACTTCGAATGGATGTTAATACTGTATCCATGTCCCATATATATTGTATAACTCATAGTACACAATTACAGCGTAGCGTCTAGAGTTAGTCATTTAGAAGTAGATTTTAGTATTGTTATTCTTGTCTATACTTGCCATACATTGTACCTGTTGCAATTGTTGCGCAATAAAGATTGATTGATTGATTGATTGTATTTACTTCATCAAACGTAGTTCGAATCTATTTTCTAATATTTTGCTTACAAGCCCATAGTCGGCATTTTAGAATGTGATAGGATGGCAGTTTTCAAGTTTTCTAAATCGATGTCCTTTTTACGGATAAAATGGATCACGGCTCGCTGCTGTGAAATTGGTAATTCGTCCTTTCTAATGATAACGGATAATAGGGGGTCTTTTTCTAGGTACTGCCAGAAATTAACATACAATTCTGTTGTTAAACCATCGCTTACTGAGGATTTTTCAGATGTAGAGCAATATTGATTTCCTCTTTGAAAATTTCCTCTTCCCACCTATTTTTTGTGTGTCAGACAATTTTGGCAAGGTTCCTCATTGTAAAAAAATGGAATGCACCTTATTTTGATCACGATCAGACGATACGAAAACATTTTGATACAAATGTAGTATTCAGCTCTAAACAGACTTTTCATTTGTAAAATTGTATCGTATTTTTTATATTGTTAACCAATTTTTTTCGGGTTGGGGGTGCTGTCTGTGAATCTGGTTTATGATTTTATGCTTTTTGCCCTTTCCCATTTTCGATTACGAGTTTTGTAAGTACAGGGCTCTTTTCAATTTTTCTTAAATAGAATGTCTAAATATGGGATCATTCCAACCATTATCAATCTATCTTAAAAGGAGATAAAAATGTAAGTTTGAGTTCCGTTCATCACATTTCCGCCTGTATTAATATTTGTCTTATCTTCTACTGCTTTTTTTCGTCTTAACGGAATACTAGTACTACTCTAGCGACGTACACCCTAGTTACGTCTGTAAACATACACAGAAAACACCGATCTTTTTGACCTTGCGGACATGACAAGAAACAACATAGTGTTCATGAAGAAAATCTTAGTCTCCTTTTTACTGTCTATTGAAGAAAAACAAAAATATGCCGCTTACTTTCTTAATGCCATTTTTTAATATTTCCCCGTTATTAATGTAACTAAATTTCCAGCTATGCACGGAAAGTACAGATTCAATGTATTGCCTTTCCATAAAATGGTTTACACTTTTTTTTATATTCAGAAGTATGATATATTCTTTTGCAGTAGAGAATAGTTTTCTGATATATTCTTTAATTCTATATCTATAGATTTATATATTTGAACCAAATAGGGGAGAGACACACGCATTTACCTTCCCTGAAAAGTGTAGTTTGTTACAATGTATTTTTAGAACGATAATGTACACTGTAGGGAGATAAGCCTGAATCATGCCGGCGGACCCTGCTTTACTGTTGTTACATTTTGAATGATATACAATGCCGAGGATAAGAAACAGAACCGTTTTTAGAAGCCTATTTCGCCTACTGGGACGACACCGTGGTCGTGTGGTATTTAGACTGACATGTTATCGCAATGTACGAAGCCACTCCTCCGCATTTACCGTGTTGACCGTATTGTCCATATACGCGACCGGCGTCCACATGTTTTCGGTGCGGAGACAGCCCCGAGGCCGCCCAGTACGACCACCCACCACCACGCTACTTCTCCCAAAGTCTAAATCCAGCCGTGCGTTGCGAAACGTTAATCATGAAAATCCAACAAGTACCGGGCAATAATCAATATGGGCATAATTTTGGTAGCGTTCGTATTATGAAAAGAAAACCCAATTTTGAAGTGCCATTTAGAAAAAAAATCCCAGCTGACTATCCCAGCATATCATAATTTTTCGTCCGGCACAGCAGCTTTTCTTTACAGAGAAAACCACTAAAATCAGAAGATAATGCTTCTTTAGCCTCCAGATAGGCAAAAGTACCGAAGTAACGGGTTCCTTTCCCAGCACTCGGTGTACAGAGGTTAGGCGGCTTCCGTCCTAGATCTCTAGTGCCAAGTCAATACTTGGTGCCCAGTTTCGGCGGCTTCATCACTGGAAACTCAGAATCGGCAAATCAAACATTGCCTTTAAAAGGGTATCAAGATGCTGCCTTTGAACTACGAACACTTATTTTAACGCCCGGGAAGCAAATTATAATCGGAACAACAATGTGATCGGCAGGACAGGACTGCACGGCGTCTTTCCCTAACATTTTCACAGACATAGACGTGGCCTACGATACTGTACCGTGCGCCGCACGGCTAACGTAAGCACCAGAAGCCAAAGGCCGAAATGGTTTGACAACTCGGCTTCCAGCGCCAAGAGTCACCGAGCACTGGAACGATCCAGTGAGGAACCCGTTACTTTCGTACTTCGACACTTGCTATTCAGTGGTGAACGGCCTCCGAGCACTGGCAAGCGAGTGCCGAGTGGAATTTAGCACTGGACAACGAGTGCCGAGTCAAGACTCAGCTCTAGAATTCCTGTTTCCTTCCGCACAGGGCCGCGACTGCCTACGCTATTTTCCCCGCGAGT